TTTTAAATATGGATAGAAAGTACTCTTCTACTAGTTGCATTAAATGCAAGGGAGTTATATTCAGTCTGCCAGTCCTACTTTAAAGCTGTCAACAAATGTTGTGCCAAGCATATGAAGAAGCCTGTTTAAGTTGCTCAGCAGTCTACTGAAGAGGTATCCACTGTCTTTAACTTAGAGAGTCTGAGACAACTAAATATAAATTGCATGATTTTGTGTCTACAAAGACAAAAATTACAAAAATAATTAATGGGCTGAACTGGCAAGGCTGAAACTGAAATGGTTTACTGAAGTCTTGATTTTTTACTCCTTTTTTACTTTTACTTTTTTACTCTTTTACTCTTGTTTTAATACTGTTTAATACTGTTACATTACTATTAGTGAAGTGATTTATACACTTCAAAGCTTTGTGCTTTGACACAGAAATTTAACATAGGAATAAAGGGGATAGTAGCTCACATTAGTATGATGTACCCTTGCTTGTATGTAATACATTTCTTTCCAAATGTTCAATTTAGGGTGGTCCAGGTGCTAAAGGTCCCAGAGGTGAAAGGGGTTTGACTGGATCATCTGTAAGTACCTTTCTAAAGTACATCTGTCATGCCGTGACATACTTAACTGTATGAAAATTGAACTCTATCTTGTGCTAAAAATTTGGATTATAAAAATTTTATTACAATTACATCTAGATGTTATTTTTGTGTAATCTATCTATTTAAGACTGTATGTGCAGCCTTAAAGGCAGCCTTAAAGRCATTGATCCCATACAAGGAAACTAGATTGCATGTGTGAGGGTAGAAATAAGCTACAGCTCTGTTCTCTTTTCTTCTTTACTGAGGAGAATCTATACTTGTGTTAACTGTGTTAGGAAGCTTATGTTCATCTAGAGTGTGGAAAAAAATGGCATTGGAATAACTGCTTCCAGGATATAGTCTATTTTGAAGTGTCAGTGTGTCTCCAGGCTGTTGATTTTCCCAAAAGACTTTGCTGCTAGAGATCTAAGAAGAGGTTGTGGTTTTAAATCTTGTTTTATTTTCTGTTTTAAGGGGCCACCTGGTCCTCGTGGTGAGACAGGTCCTCCTGGGCCTCAAGGGCCACCAGGTCCTCAGGGCCCCAATGGTCTGTCAATCCCAGGAGAACCGGTGAGTGGTCATTGGTAAAGTGGGGGACACTGTTTGAGGGGACAGGGCCGTCCACAGGGGCAGGGGTCTAGGGAAGGGGCCGACAACTCTGCCTTAATGCTCCTTTCTCCTTTACACGGGAACATCACAAAGTAAGTAGAGATGAGGTAGTCCACTTTCATAAGGAGAAAGTAGAAAGATTTTGTTAACCTTTATAGATAGATTTTTTTGTTGTATACCAGGAGGAAAAATAGCTTAGAGACACCAAACTGTGTGAAATCCTAAGTGCATTCTTTTTGCATGAAGAATGTAATAAATATTTTTATTCGTTTTGTGTAGTTTGAAAACCTTTGAAGAACCCTTACCTGTTTTCTCCCCTATGGAGTTATTGATATTATGTTATAGTCTYTCTTACTGCAAACTCTGTATCACTTCCTTGTCAAAATACCTTCCCCCTCCCCAAATATATGTGTGTTTATATTTTTAATATAATCTCAACCAGTCTTCCTTCATGTGCTTATGAAAGGCTTATTGTTTCATTGAAGATACATATGTATCTRTGTTTATGCATGCCTTAGATTAGGTATTTTGCAGTAATTATTATGTGTCCATTTACATGGGTTAGCTATTTTGCTATTCTCTTCTGTAATTCAGAAACCCTAATGATCATTTATGCACACTGTAGGGGCGTCAAGGCATGAAAGGTGATGCTGGCCAGCCTGGGCTGCCAGGGCGATCGGTAAGTTGATTCTTAGTTAAGAATTTTATTTAACATGATTCCTATGTACAGGTTGGCTGTCAGATGTCTCCGTCATTACCAAGAGTCATGGACTCTTTTCATAGCTTCCTAAGCAATAGTTTTGGAAACTAGTTTGAAATGTAGGAAATGCTACACCATTCAAAACAGAGGAAGATTAAAAGAACAGCTGTACTCTGTCATAACAAATGTCCGTCTAGCAAGTCATGAACCCAAGGGAGAAGACCACTGAAAAGTACACTGATAGTTCCCCTGGAAGGTGTCAATTTCTGATGACCTGTAGTTTAGTGTCTTTCTAGAACAGAGGTTACAAAACCTTGTGAGGGTGAAATAAAAAGTAGGATTGTGCCATATATATGAATATATGAATTAACTGGTTTCTCCAAAAGGTCTGTTTTATATTGCCAAAAAAGAACGCTGCAAGCAGTTAGCTATTTATATGAATGCATCTGTACTGTGAGGATTGGTATAGAAGAGATATTTTCTTTGTCTCAAATACAGTTTCTCATTCCTCTTTCCTTTAGGGAACCCCAGGTTTACCTGGTCCACCTGGCCCCATGGGACCTCCAGGTGAAAGGGTAAGATCTCCTCAGTTTATCTCATTAAAGGACCAAATAATGGCTTTTTGTTTGTTGTTATTATAGCTTCCTGTTTTCAAGTGCTTTGTAGAAGGCATATAAGCTGGAGAAGTGAAAATGAAAGGACTGTTAGGGGTGGAAGCTTCCCCTTATTGCCATTAGGATAGCCAGAGCTAGTTTCTGCTCAGCCCAAGTTGTTAGATACCTCACGTATACCAATAAACCACTGAGCAGGGCTCTGCTGAGCTGTTCAGCCCTGCTTCTCTTCCTCTACATGCTGTTGCTGCTGGCAGGGACCGTGTGGAGCTCTGCTGGTTCAGTTCTTATAAGTTCTTTCAAGTTTGTTCCTTAGTCTTTTCATGGAGTTAACAATTTTCTTTGGATTGAGGATTCCAGAATGTCCTCATAATGAAGGGAATGCTCATAGACATTTTGTTTTGGAGCTATTGAAATGACCGTCTGCTGATGTGTCACCTAGGCACRCCTTTTTTACATTCTCAGTGACATATTGTCCTTGAGATGACTGAACCAGTGATTTACTTTGACAGCCAAAACTAATAGATGATATATGCATTTAGAGTTTTGCTTTAGTGGGATTTGATAGCCAGAAATGAAGACAGAGCACCATGTGATATCCACTTGCCAAAGAACATACCAGTGCATGGGTGAGTCATCAGCGGACCGTAATGTTTGTTTGAGAAGACTGTGTTAGATTATTGAAATTRAATTTCTCAGCATGTCTTCTTGTAGAAAGTGTATCTGGGAGAGAGGTATTCTGTTATTCTTCATCTTGAAGCAGAAACCTCAGATTTTTCAGCTAATCTCTGAGCAGAGAGAACAGGAATGAGGACAGCCTTCCTCTTCTGAGACAGAACAATTCCTTCTCTGAGACAGTGTTGAGAGGGACTCGATTGGAGACTCTGTCTTCAATGAATCACAGCTGCCAAACATCTTCTAAGTTTACTAAGTCCACTCTTCCATTTCCTTCCCATTGGAAAGCATTAGCTACTCTGAGATAGTTTTAAAAGCAGTAGCTACTCTGAGATAGTTTTAAAAATACACGCTAGTAGTAATTAGGAGTATGATAATTGCATAATCTTAAGGATCATTTTAATCAAAGGGTAATCTTTACTCATATTTTTATTTTTGAATAGGGTTTCACAGGAAAAGATGGCCCCACAGGTCCAAGAGGTCCACCAGGACCAGCGGTAAATATTATTCTGTCTTTGATATACAGTGAAATAAGAGACATGAGCAAAATGAGAGCCACATTGACATTTTCACTYTCTGTCAGATATGAAATGGATCCTTTATATAATATCTCAAATGGATATGAAGAAGTTTCAGCAAAAGCTGAACAGAGAGCTGTGTAAAAAAGAGATTAGCAAACATCATGAAAGTTTAATTCTGTTTTTAATTTTTTTTTATCCACTTGACTTTCAGTGCTCTCTAAAGGGATTTCTGCTAGTGCAAATATGAGAAGCACCGATCTGCCTGTTTCTTTAGTAATATTTTTTAAATGCATAGCCAGATCTACTGAAACCAAGCATCTGTTACTTGTAGTCTGGACAAAACAATCTTTGTTAATAATACAAGTGTTGCCTGACAAAAATTTCTCAGGATGATATTTTTTGCTTAAAAATCTACTTCATTGTCTGCCATGATARCGTCATGGATTCCCTCCTAGGAACTTTTATGTGGATCACAAAGTGAGAAGGYCTGACTGTCTGGTACTTGTTTAGGAGGCCTTCATTAAGACCCATACCAAAAACATACAGGTGCATTCTGCATCTGTTGATTCTGAAATGTTTTTAGAATAAGCAAGATAATATGTTTCTACAAAGAAACTTTTTTTTTTTTTTTTTCTGGAGGAAAGTTTTCAAACACAGTAGGTACCTAAGAGAAGAGAAAACTGACAGGACACGTTTTCAGTATCGCTCTGTACTCATTAATTGTACAGAAAGTTTCTTACCAGCCCATTGTACTGAGGCTTTTGTGGGTCTCCACAACGCATCCCTTTGCATGTCTTTCTTCTGCAGGGTGCTCCAGGAGTTCCAGGAGTTGCTGGCCCAAGTGGAAAACCAGGGAAGCCAGGAGATCGTGGAACACCAGTAAGATAATCATACATATATAGTATCATTTTAAAAATTACATTCTCTCTGTTGATCACTTATTCTCTGCCTGAATAGTTGTCTCACTCTTATGATAGTGGTTAATACAGTGGAGATGGCTTAAGACCGCAAGGCTTCTTTCAAACAGTGTTATTTTTGCAGTATGTCCTTTTACTCAGTTTAATAGTTGGAACTGGAAAMTGTGGTCAGTGGTTTCTGCTAAAAGAATTGTTCAGTGTTAAATGCCAAGATATATATTTCTGCACTGTATAAGCATGAAATGCTGGGTCAGCAAAACGATTGGAAAGTCTTTTTGTTTGTATGTGTATGTGTAGTAAAAAGTGGCATGCTGCTGAATATGGAAAATCTTCGATAATGTTACATGATCACTTTTGGTGTGCGAATGTTTGGAGTCTTTACAATATGATTTTGAAGTTATTTGAGGACTGTGGGTTCTATTTAGACCTTTAAAGTTAAAGTGCTGGATAAGGAGAAGGAGCAGGAGCTGCCTGCCATCAGCAATTTGAGGAGAATTTAAAATTGATTCATTTTACAGCATCTCTGAGAAATTATGTTTGAGTCAGGATTGCAGACGGTGATTGAAAGGGGAAGTCTTTCATTCCTTGTACCATATCATCTGGAAATCTGCCAGAATTTTCCATCAATCTTCAAAGTCACTTTTTATACAACAGCTGGATAGTTTGGAAGAACATATGTAGTAGACTGGCAGCTTGATGGATATAAGCTGTGAGCTCCCAGGAGCAGATTCAGATTCACAGATTCACAGAATATTTAAGGTTGGAAGGGACCTCTACAGATCATCTAGTCCAACCTTCCTGCTCAAGCAGGCACACCTACAGCATGTGGCATAGGGTGGCATCCAGGCGGGTTTTGAAGACCTCCAGAGTAGGAGACTCCACAACCCCCCTGGGCAGCCTGTTCCAAGCACCTGGAAACTGGATCATTTTCTCATATGTGCTGTGAATTCAGCCTGTGCTTATGAGCCTRTAAATCCCATATCTCCTTGCAGTAGAGGGCATTGGGTAGTAGAGGGCATAGGCTGAAGCCTACAGATGTTGCTCATACGATGTACCTGCCAGGTCAAATGGTTGATGTAGCTGCACCACTGCGGTTGGTTCCTAAGTGTACTTTAAAGTACCACATGCATCTGAGTTTTTGCTCACTTAGGGTATGGATTGGTGCCTCAATACAGTGTAAAGATGTTTTGCTGTTAACTAATACGAAAAGGAAGGAAATTTGGCTTCAAGCCTAGTTCCAAAGCATTTGCAAACTGACACAGTGAACCCCTGTCTGAACACTGCATATAAGTTCTCCTACACACTAAATCTAAGAGTTCCTTTTGGTTAGAAACACAGTTCTTTTCCATTATTCCACTTTCTTGTAATGTGACACTGTGCATCATATTTACCATTTCTTTTGTTTCTAGAACATATCCTAGCAGGAGTTCTGGCTTGCACCTTGCACAGATGTTTTTATCAGACTCCTTGTGGACAGGATTTCAACACTTTCCTTTGTGTCCAGTGGCAGAATTGCCAGAGGTGCAACCTAATGGCCAAATGCTACTTACAGTGTCCAGAATTATAGTCCAACCCTGCCTCTATTTGTAACTTCCTGCCATGGAGAAAGATAGTCAGGCTTTGCACTGCCTCTGGTAAATAGGAAGAGTGAGTAATTTGTGACTAGATCCTGTCATTTTTCTTCTGCTTCAGCAATCTGTATTGTTACTGCTATACAGCACAGGCCAGGTGATAAACCCCYATGACGTTTCCTATGAATGCAGTAAATTAGTGTGCTTTGCTGATGTGCTAAATGCCATCAAAGGCAGACCACTAATACGGCTGTAAACTGTAAATTTCTCCACTGTCATGTGAGACTTATRTGAGAAAGAATCATTATCTGAAGTAACTGAATTTTCATAAGAAATGTGACTTTATAATCTGCTTATCAGTACTTCAAGGAGAAACCTATGAGGAGTTTTAGTATAGGCACAAAATAACTGGAAAGAAACACTGCGAACACAAATGAATCAGTAATCTATTGGGAACTGAGGATTGTCTGTCTTAAAAGAGACTACAATATTGGTTTAGTTTGGTCAAACAGAGGTTGAGAAAGTGTTTGATAGTTTCTCATAAATATATTGTGGTGTAGCAACCAGCAGAGGTTAGAACGAGTCATTAAGCAAAAGGAGGATGTTTGCTCCATAAGAAACATATACATTTTCTGTGAACAGGTTTAGCCTGAGAAATAGAAGAATTTGGACCACCAGACAACAAGAGTTTTGGTGATGTTGTTTTATAGGTTTGAGAGAGCAAATAAGCTAGTTAGGCAGACCAAGTCCTTTTAAGGCAGAACTGTCTTGTAAAACAGACCCAGTGACATGACAGGGTCAGGCTTTCTTGATCTGGAAAGGCCCCAGGAAAAGGGCAGGACATTTATGTTTTATGCATGYGGTGTTGTTAGACTGATACCTCCAGGACTTAGTGAACTGTGTAAACCTTTAGAGCATAATCCTGCGCATATAAGTGTGTTCTGATGTAAATACAGTTCTTGAACTGCTGGTCCTTCTCTGTCAGAAGGTATTCACTGATCTTGTGTCCATCTAGGCAGACATCCTTTCCAAGAGGACTCAAAAAGATAGTGTTTTGGGAGAAGAAAAATAATGACTCTGGTGGGGGACAAACATTCTTTTGGGGAAAATAATCAAGGATATTKATTGCTTTTTAAATAAAAATAGCAAGCTTTCTTTTGTTTTGTTCTCCTTCCGCTGCAGGCCCTTGCTGYAGCTCATCTCATAGCTCAGAAAAATCTCACATGCAGCAAAAAATGGCATTTTCTCACACTGACCCCAAGTGACTCTGTCATCACATGATGTCAACAAACCAGGATTTCAGTGGCAGCTGCTGCTTCTCAAAATGCTGACAGTTGGCTAAATTGCACATATTTATCTATTAAAAAAAAGAATAAAGTGAAATTTGAGAAGAATGCAATCAAGTGGGAGGAGATTGCAAATAGCTCAGTAATTGCACTTGTAATTATGTTTTTTTTTTTTTAAATCACAGTTCTGAAACATCCAGATGGAAAACAAACATTGTCATTAACATAGCCTGTTGGTCCCTAATCTTTAAGTTTTAAAATTAATTAAGAACAGCCACTGCATTTCCAATCACAAAGCTAAATCAGTGCATCTTTGCAAGGTAACAAATGAGAGAATGAGGCAATGGGAGAACTTTGGGGCAATGTTATGCCTTGTTACTGGAGCAGCATCCTGTCTGACCAGCATGGCTTTTGGTGGCAATCAACCTCAAGAACTTTTCTTGAKTGATCAGCAAAAATATTGCCAGAAATGGTATACAGGATTGGAACATTTTAAATATGCTTTTATTTTTCTATCTTCCGTGCAAAACTTTCTAGGGTGAATGTTCTAGCAAATGAAATCATCGAAACAGGAATTTTTAAGCAAATATTACTGTATTGCCAGCACAGTAAACCAGAAATGAGATTTTGATTTGTATCTATACTAATAATATGATTTGTAATGCTTAGGCACATCTAAGAAGAAACAAATATGTGACATACAATTTATTTGTAGTCAAAACAACACAAACTTGTACTGTGAAAGCCTACAAAAAATGAGCAGTTATAATAACTTTGTACTCAACAGATAATTTCAAATGGTGTTTCAGAGAATGGGAGAAAATGCCAAGTTTCAAAGAGAAACATCATCATTGACAAATCATTTGTTAATGATGTTTTTTTCGTATTTTCATGTTGCAGACTAGTGAAAGCAAAAAAAAAAAAAAAAAAAGAACACTTGTGGGTATTTTAGAGATATGAGATAGTTTATGACTGAGACTTAGAAGCTACATTTGCTGCAAGAGATGTTTAGGAAGCTGTCATGAATTGCCCTTCCAATGCTGTTGAAACTTCACTTTTGCAAATGCATATGCCAAATTTCAGGGTAATATGAACAAAACTATGGCTTAAACTAGGGCCAGTATGCATTTTACAGATTATTTCAATGGAAGCAGMGTTAGGCCACAACTGAGTCCTTCTGAAAATCCATTCTAAATTTGTCAGCTATAATGGGTCCAAAGTGCACAGGAACTTGGTCAGTCAAGCGAAAAGGGACTAGTACAAGTTCAAGTACATTTTAACTTGTAGCCTAGATTGCAGCTTGGATGTATGGCATATTTCAAAGTTGAAAGTCCAAATCAGTCATCTGCTGCTCTGCACAACTTTCCACAATACTGCACATACATCCAAGATATTATTGCTTTTTAATTCTCAATATCTCTTTAAGGAGCCTGTTTMTCTCTATTAACAAAGCAAATACTAAGTGTGGGCTGCAGCTGTTTTGCCTAACATTCTTACAGTACCCACAAATAATTTCAGCAACTCCAGACAACAAATCATTCCACTGAGGTCACGGTGGAGCTGGATACAAATTGAATGCAGTGGCACTGTTTCACAAACTCCATCAAAGTTTCAGGGCAAACAAATTCCTGTGGGATATCTTTCAGGGTGTGAAATTAGTACACAGAGCTTCTCAGCAGCAGTGATGCATACACCGTTCCGTGACACTCCACAAAAAATACAATGCAGTTCGTCCATCAGTGAGTAGGTACTTGGCCCACAGCAGCATCCCACATGATAGATTGTTCATGTGAAATTAATTGCACAGATTCAAATGAAAGATACAGAATGGCCAAACTAATATGGTATATGTGCCCCTAAAATAAATTATACTGCTAATTGGAAAAATATTAGCCACTTACTACTCTGCACACAATATACCTRTGAAGAATCAACAAACAGTCTATCGCCCATCAAAGCGATGAATATTTTCTTCCTTTTCCCTTGCACCCTTTTGCCTGCCTCTTTTCTTGCTCTGTGAATTCTATAGGGAAAACATCTTTCTTTCCGCTCTAGCCTAACAGTCAAGTGCTGAAACAAAATAGGGATGTGTAAGTAAGTAATTTCTCTAGGATTTCATAGAATCTCCTACAACTTTATTTGGATCATTTTGTGTAGTAATGAGACTCAGACAGCAAGAGTGAGAAGTAAAAGATGTTGCTCTTAAAAAGATATTCCTTATTTTTGAGAAAATTGAAATTACATTGCTGAGAATATAAGCTTACTCCAAAAAGTTTGGAGGAAAAAAAGGCATAGGAAAGTGTAGAAAGACTAAGGGGAGTCAGAGGACTATTTCTTATTTGATTAAATTTGATAAGAATGGCTATCACAATGGAAATGTTATGCAAAAATGGTAGACTTCTCAAGAAGATCCACTGGTCTAGAATGAATAATAGAGTTTTTCAAAAAACAAGATTACCTTTATGACAGCTTTTGAAAATTGTAATATTTATATTATCCTTATGAAAATTCTGTAAAAATATTTTTAAAGCTTGCATTAGAAAATATTTAGGACACTAAAAATACTACAGTTCTAATACTACACTTTTGGCCAGCGGGAAGCCTGGTACAAGTCACTGTTTTACCTGATTTGGCGTAGGGTCTTGAGTGTCATGTAAATGTTCTGACCATTGGGCTGTCACATGATTATATCTCCACTTTTTCTGACTTATCTGGTGCCAAAAGTGTCTCCTTGTATTGAGAACTGGGCAGCACAAAGACTAGGGCCTGCATCTCTTGTATTCCAGGACTGCCCTGACCTATATATTTTAGTGTTTTTATCCTGAGACTCTCTCCCAACCTGGATATGCATTCTGCTGCTGAATGCCCTTTTTGGGTCAAAAATGATGCATTTTTTAGTGAAGAGTTCCCAGTGATTAATGGATATAGTTTGGTTTAAGTGATCTGTAAAGTACTTTKTTGTTGTTGTTAAACAAAAAGRAAAAAARAAAAGATTTGTAACACAATTGTGCATCTGTATATTATTCTCTTTTACCTAAATTCCAATAGAGAAAGCTCTGTCTAGCAGGTACCTAAGGTACCCGGTAGAGTTCTTCATCCATCTGTATGTAATTCTGCTAAGCAATAGCTCTGAGGCATAAGATTTAGATTCTTCTGTGTGTGTGTTTCTTAATCGTTATAGCACTATTTCTGCATTGATTCTTCAATGTCTGTTCCTGAGCAAATATACTGCTCTATATTTTCATAAATGAACTAATAATAGGAATATATTTATTTTAGGGTTCACCTGGATTGAAGGGAGAAAAAGGTGACAGAGTAAGTCTGCTTTAAAATCAGTTTCTCTCATATCTTTTTAACAAAATACCATTTCTTTAAGAGCACGGATACTTGCTAACAAAACATTTGTTTTGATTATTTAGGGAGACATTGCTTCTCAGAACATGATGCGAGCAGTTGCCAGACAAGTCTGTGAGCAGTTGATAAATGGTAAACAGTGTTGCTTTCTTTGTGCTTCATACCTCTGATTTACTAGTGTGTTTCTTAAAAAAGAACGGTGTAAATTTGAGATGAAGGATATTGGCCACAAAACATAACAAGAGCTTGAGTGATGTAGCAGCTTCTCCAGCACCACTGACATAGTGGGGAAAAGAATCCAGGGCTCARTCCTTGCCAGATCCAAAAGGCAGGGTTGACCATGGATGGCCATGGCTAACTGTGATCTTTGGAAATATACAGGCAAGTCCAATATCCACCACAAGACAGGTAATCTTCATATTGTCCCTCTGGTCTAAACTTACCCTATCTACATGATAAAATTAATATGTATTTCTTCATTAATTATGTCGTATCTCCAGGAGGAGGGAATATGCAAGAAAAGCAATGTTCACTGCAGGTGTTTTACTAGTGAGAAATGACAGATGGTGTTTAGATAAATAGTGTGCACAGAATCAGCTGACATCTGCAAGTAGAAATTAAATTGCTCCAAATTAAATTCTAGTCCTCTGCTGCCACACAGGGGGTGATTAGAGTGCGGCTTTGCATCCCATGGAAATTTTCTCTGGAGAGCTTCTTTCTCTATGCCCCTGAGGCAGTGCTTTTGCTATCAGCAGGCCTACCAAGGTAGAGAGAGTCAAATGTGTCCATAAATGGTTCCTAAAACTTAATACTGTCTCTATAGTAATGGCAAGTGCTGGTTAGATCTTGATTCTATGGGATTTTTTTTTTTTTTTGCAGTGAACAGAAATATCTTTTGAATCACTGAGTCGGTGTGTGCAGATGGGGAGGACAGTATGTCCTCTAGGATATCTGCAGTGGCTGGTTTTAAAGCCTGTTTAATTCATTATATCATTAGCCAGCACACAGAAGGCCAGCACAGGCCTGTGCATCCTGCGTAGTTCATGGATTGCTGACTGCTCTGCACAGGGGTAATTTATCATTGTAACTTGTGAGCTGCAGGAGTATGCAGAAACGTGGTCCTCTTCACTGTCTGAGGTGTAACAAGCCCTTTCTGTTCTTCAGAGTGAGAGACAACCTCTAACTAGAATTTTGAGGACAAGAATGCTGTAAACGAGTGTTTTTTTTTAACTGATTTTAACTACTTTAATGTTATTTTTTTGATAATGTTGTCTGCTTCCAGAATTCCCTTTACCCTTCTTCCATGTATTTTACATTAATCTTAATTCCCTCTAATTCACTCTGCCGATTCACTGTTATTTGGACAGAACAAAGAGAGAATTTACTGAAAAAGGGTAACCTTTATTCATTCCCACTGCAATGAAAGTTTTTCATGTGTTTTTTACAGAAGCATTTTCTTTTTCTTTCAAGGCCAAATGAGCCGATTCAATCAGATGCTGAATCAAATCCCGAATGATTATTATTCAAACCGTAACCAGCCAGGGCCACCAGGACCACCTGGTCCCCCAGGAGCTGCTGGGACAAGAGGAGAACCTGGACCTGGAGGAAGACCAGGGTTCCCAGGACCTCCTGGTGTCCAGGGACCACCTGGTGAAAGAGGTGAGTGATGCCTAGAGCAATTGTGTATTTCACTGAGGCCGTAGTGCAGAGACTGCTAGGGGAGCATTGTGATCCCTTTACCATTTCAGACTAAGAAGCCTTCAGCTTCCAGGTCAGCTGGATTGCTTGGAGGACAATGATGTACTGCAGGAAAGATCAGTTACGTCAATTGGTGTCTACAGGACTTTCTTCTCTCTCTCTTGCTCATGTTTCATGAAATCCAGGGTAGTGTAAAGTTTTGGCTGCCCTCTCTGTAAAGTGTGAAGCGTCCTCAGGATATCCCAGGAAAGAGATTTTTCTCAGAGTTCTTCTGGCACCAGACAGCTAGGTCTTGAAAGGCTGTCTGGAGTAACATAATCCTGTGCAGAGCAGGCACCTGATTAGTAGACAAAGTGCATCATTACCAAGAATAAAACATAAGAGTCAAAAGAATTAAGACTCCAGCTTTGTCCCTTTGCACTCTTTTGGGAAAGTTTAGTTTATGTTTAGCCATCTATATAAAATAAGTTTTGACCAACCCATGTCTCTTAAATAATAGAAACTAAATATTATCAATGAGGGCACGTGAAGAAATATTGATGCATTTTCCTTTTTTTTTTTAATTCTGTAGGAATGCCTGGAGAGAAAGGTGAAAGAGGGACTGGATCTCAAGGCCCACGAGGTTTGCCGGGGCCACCTGGTAAATATGTCTTGTTTAATTAAAATCAGATTACAGAAAAATGGAAGAAAAAGCATTTTTTTAATAAGAAAAATAGATTGTTTATGGTAAATGAATATACACTACTCTGTGTACCGCATTTTTTTTTTGACATGTATTAGAGTGTAATGGAAAGTTCTGCAACAAGGGGTAGTTTAAAAAGATTGTTGCATATGGCTCATAGATACTTATCTTTTTCATGTAATTTACTTATCTGGCATGTTTGCTTGTGTGAAAATGAATTTCACGAAAATGCCCTGGCCAAGTATTTAATGGATGCTTTCACAAGTTTTAGGAGATGATACTTTTGGAATACCTAGTTCCTTTTTTTTCAGTTGTATCTGTGGTTACRCATTTTGCCAGAACTGTGAAATATGCCATTGTACAAAGTTACCAGATGGCAGTCTGATGACTTGACCATTACTTTTGCTGTTTGTCTCATGCAGCTCATGTTGTTCGATAACGCCTTGGCAGAAATCAGCTGCATCATTTGTTTCTGCCTTTAGTTTACAAGGCTAAACATGCTTTTTCATTACAGGGTACATAAGAAATTTGCAGCAAATTGTAGCTCCAGTTACTTGAGGCGTTATATTTCTGCTAACATAATACAACCTGTTCCAAAAAAAGCATTACCTCATCTACCCTAGGGCTTCAGAGTAGCAGAATTAATGTACTCCTATATTTTAATTGAAATCCAGTGTGCTTGTCTAATCTAGTAGTTTCCCTTGAGATTTTCATATCTTACACAGAGTGGAAATAAACCAGAGAACTCATTGATGTTTCTAACTTGGCTAAAACCTTGCTAAATCAATTTCTGTGAATAAATCCGTAAGTAAGCCACACACAGGGAAGCAACTAATGATGAGTCATATTTCTGGTTTTCTTTTTATTTTTCTTTCCRTCGACCCCTATAGAGCAACAAAGTGCAAGTGTTTTCTCTCTAAAGATGTAGACTAGACTGGTCAGTCTAGACGGCAGTAATGTTAGCTATTTTATCAAGCTGCCTCTTAAAGAAAACAACTTTTCCACCTTTTAATCCTGTAATCAGGTCCTCAAGGAGAATCTAGAGCTGGCCCACCAGGCTCCACAGGATCACGAGGACCCCCAGGGCCACCAGGTCGTCCAGGAAATGCGGGTATCCGAGGTCCTCCAGGGCCACCCGGATATTGCGATTCATCCCAGTGTGCTAGCATCCCTTACAATGGCCAAGGATTCCCAGGTATGTTATCCACAACTTAGCTGCTCTTTGCTTTACATGAGACAGTCCTGTTTGCCTGGGCAATTTGACTCGGATAAAATGGTTGCAAGGAGCAGGACTGTCTCACTGTAATCTGCAGGTGGAGGATCAGCCATTTCGATTTCAGTGCAGATCACTGATTTCAGTGCAGATATATAGCTCAACTTAAATAGAAAGAAGTAGCAAAATGTCTCAATCTTTTTTTTTTTTTTTTTTTTTTTAACTTAGAAGGTTGGTGGTTGATAATGTTGCTCATAGGATGTAAGTGACTGTTTTCTTCTTCTTTTTCTCCCTCCCCACCCTTTCCAATCGTCTTCAGAACAAGGTTGAATTCTTCATGTTTCTCTTGAAAAATAAAAAAGAATGCTGTGGTTGGCAATGTCCGTGTCTCTCTTTTTGAGCAAAGTCAGGATTATTTATASCAAATTGGTACCTGAAATCAAAATTTTACACAAAGGAAATCCGTTCCATGATACAGTGCTGACAACTGAAAAACACCACTGTCCTACAATTTCTACCGAGTTAAACTGCCTGGAGTCTGATTAGCCGTGGGTCTTATCAGCCTTCTGCTCTGAGAAGCAGTTCAAAAGAGTGGGCTTCTGAAACCTGTGTAAAGGGTGTCAGTGGCCACCAATTTGTGACACCTGAGAAGGCACTATTTACATGGGGATCCTGCAGGACCACAGTATTGTTAACAAATTAATATGTATGCATTGCAACATCTCAAAATTAGTGTRTGTGATACTACTATTTGATATCGTTTGCTGTTAGCGTATTGTGCATGTACCCACAAAAAACCTAATATATATATATATGTACACAATTGCAGACTTAGTGCTGCTGGTTAAAGAGATAGATATTTATGTAGATCTCATGCAAAATTCTGATTTAAAGGAAAAAGGAAAATTTTGTCTGTGATTCAGCAGTGATCTCCTTTCTAGTAAGCAGCTATGTATACATATATAAATATATGCCTATGACTTAACTGTTATGTATTTATTTGGATGAAAGTATGTTTTTGCAAATCAGTTTGACTTTAAAAGACTAACATCTTCTTTGACCTGTTTCAGGTTTCGGCTAACACATTTTCTAAGTCGCCAGTGCTGCTTACAGTTTGAATACATGAAAATCCTGTTTCTGAGATGTTTGCGCACGTGCTTATTAGAAAATGAGTCCGTATGGATATTTCACCGCGGATATGGTTTTGAACCATGCTGCCTCATAGAATGGGGAACTTCTTTTACTAACATAACTCGTGAATGAGATAAAGGACAGTGATGTCGATTCATTAAGCCTGTTGCATTTCAGTAATAAAGTAGACAATCTTTATTTTTCTAAAAAAAAGACCCAAATCTTCAAAAGCCTCAGTGATGGAAGGGGCTTATAAAACTACTAACCAGCAAAGGTAATGCCATTAGAAGAGACAGATTTAACCTGGTAAATGAGAAATGACTTATGTAAATAGTAAACTAATTGTGGCTTGTAAATGATTTGTATGGGATCGTATCCACTAAAATCTGTTAACAACTCTACGTGATGCTTCTGCATAAAAGCCTGCTGCTGCTTGCTACATGCCAGAATAACATCTTCGACTTATGAAACCTACCTGTCTGTTGCTTGTTACCAACATGCCTGATCTGGGGCATGTGCCTTTTTTTGTATATGTAATCTTGTTGGATTCTGTAACTGCAGATATAAATACAAAAGTTTTATATTTTTTTTTCTGTTTTGCTGTAGTTTTTGGTGTTCCTGAAGCACCAGCTGTAACTCGGTTTGTTACGAGGAACAGCACCAGAAAGTGATATGTACTGTATATTGCCGCTGGTGATAGTTACATGTACATTTATTTTCCCATTCTCARAGAAATTTAGTAAATGACAAACTCCACCTGTTTCTTGCTCTCTATTGATTTATTGATTACATAGATGAAATCCAGTACTTTCTGAAGTAACTGTAAAATAATATTTTTATTTGATTTGCTTTTTTTTTGGTAATAGTTGGTCCTTTGCATACATTAAGATTCATTCTGAAATGTTTTGTGTATTATAAATGCAAAGCCATTCAAAATGACTTTTTAATTTTTTATTATTTTACTGCTAGGAAACATTCATGAACAAAATTGAAAAAGAACCCAGTGAATTATTAATTTATATATTTATTATATGGAAATAAGATCAGACTAACATTACATAGGCGAACTAACTTTCATTGTATTTGTGGATTCAAAGACATGCGATAATTATAATGTTCAATCGGACAACTATTTTCAACCAGAATCATACGTGCCTGAAAGTGGACCCTATCAGCCTGAAGGTGAACCCTTCATAGTACCTATGGAGTCAGAAAGGAGAGAGGACGAGTATGAGGACTATGGAGTTGAAATGCATTCACCAGAATACCCTGAACACATGCGCTGGAAAAGATCGCTGTCAAGAAGTGCAAAAACAAAACAATAAAAGATCCGTGCCTTGTTTTGGTTTTTTTGGTTGCTGGTTTTTGTTTTTGCTATACTTGCATAGGCAGATACACATGGGGAGAGTGCATCATTTCTTTTGCAATATAGCTTCCTGCTTCTTTTCATTTTTTTTTTTTATTTTTTGAATCAGACATGCCCCCCCTGTTTTGTAGGAGTATCTTGCTTATGTGGGAATAGCAATGTGTGTAACTAGACATTTCATACTGCTCTGGAAATGCTTGTAAAATACTTCTGCTTAGAGTGGCTGCCTACAAGTTAATATGTGAATCCAGTTATCCCAATGGTGCATTTTCATTAAAATAATGTAAAAAACCAACCACCAAAAAAAAAAAAAAAAAAAAAGAAAACCAAAAAACCAAAACAAAAATAACTACAGAGCTACTGCAGATTTTTAAAGACTATTTGCTTTAGCTCTACATTTTTGTTCTTTTTCAAATGCATGTTTGCAGTTAGGTCAGATCACAGGTCTGCATTATCTAGTTAAGTAAAAACGCCAAAATCCCTCTCCTTCCAGTATCATTGTCATTTTCTTCTATTCTTAGTTACACTTTGCAGAGCATATACTGCTCTTATACATCTCCTTTTACAACCACAAACATTAAGCAAAGTAGCTGACATCATTGTATCAACTGGATACAGTTTAATAGTGCCTTAAATCTCTGTGTTTTTAGACACATTAACATTTACGCCAAATTGCAGTCAATCCTGCAGAGATGGAATTGCATGTTTGTGTTGTATATTTAGTATGGATTTTTTTTTTTTCAGAATACAATGTTTCTTAGTTATCAAAAGCAGTTGGAAATTGTTTGCAAGACTATGGAATATAGAATTGCTGCTTTTATATTGTAACTGCAAATTGTGAATTTCACTGCCTTATATTATTTATTTCTGAATTGAAAGAGGCATTTTTCAATAAAACTACTGAAAATTTACGTGTGTCTGTTTCTTATAAAACACTAATATCCTTTGTTTTTCTACTAGTAAGGTGCTCAACATAATGTGTGTGTATACTATTAGTTTTCTTTACTCATTCAGAAGTGTCAAATATCAAAATCATCTAGATTAAGAATAAAATAGGCATTTGTGCTGTGGTATCTAGAGGGGCATGGAGGAAAGCAGAAGAGATTTCCACTTTCTAAGGTATGGATATGATTCCTGACAGCGTGCATGGTGTTTAGTGAAAAAAACAGAGCAAGTCTAAGCTCCAGTTGCTTTCTTTTGTTGGTTATCTGGTGGATKGCTGTATCAGCAGGAGAGAGTTTTTCTCAGTCTAGGAGATACTCAGAGTGAATCATTTAGCTAAGATCCTGCAAACTAATTCCTCCTCACAGAAGAATTGAGGCTGGAAAGTTCTTCTGGAGATCAACTAGTCCAACAACCCTGCTCAAATAGTCATCTAAAGTATGTTGCTCAGGACTTCACCCAGATGACTTTTGAATATCTCGCAAGGATGGAGACTCCACAACCTCTGTGGATAGCCTGTTTTAGTGCTCTGTTACCCTTACAGTAAACAAGCTTCTCCTCATGTGCAGGCAGACCATCTGTGTTTCAGTTTGCTTATTGCCTCTTGTCCTGTCACTGGTCAGCACTGTGGCTATGACAGTACCAACTTCAGTACTGGCAAGTGGTTTTCCTGAGTAGAGTACCTGGGAGTATGCTGCCTGCTGAGCGTCTTTGGAAGGGGACTGTGTWGCTGGCTACCTGCATGTGTATGTGCCCCAAATTTGATAACACTAATAGTTGTAGACTAGCTCTATCTAGAGAAGTCRACAAGAGTGAACAGGGAAACAACAAAAGGAATGGAAGAGCATCAATAGACCAGAAGAATCACTAGCCAACTGAGGAGATGTGTGTGAATCCTATGACTCTTCCTAATCATGGTGTCTCGGAGACCTGTCTTCAAAACAGAGGTGGCTACCACCACAGGACCTTGAGCAAACCCTCCTGAAGTCAGTACAGAAGCTGACACAGCATTTCTCAAGATCATGCAAGGCATCTGTCACAAATGTGAAGCTGGATATGCTAGCTGGTTTCCTGACTGTTGCAGGCTCCTTTCTCTGCAATGGAGACTATATGATGACTTTCAGTGTCCACAAATGGAGATTATACAATGGCTTCACGAATTGTCTAACTGGTCACCAGTGAGATAAAATCCATACAAATGGTGTTTCAAAGAGTTGCAGCCATATTTGCAGCCATAACTGTTTTAGACCATAAAAGAATTAGTTCTGGCCTGAACAGAGGAACATATTATTTCTTTATGTTTTCTTCTAGTTGCAGAGAATTATGTATCAAAAATATCTCCTGCAGCTTAGAGGGCAATACAGAAATGGAAGTATCTGGCAGAAAAAAAAAAAAGGCTGGTAGGAATTTGGAGGACTGATTAAAATATTTCTCTGACATGTATTTAAAAATAAAGACATCTTGCACTGATCTCCTATCTGTCTGTTTCTAGCAGTAAGTGTCTCCACAGGACAAGCTTAACCAGATGCCCACGTTTTTATAAAAAGACTCCTTTCTGTCTTATAGACAGAAAATTTTACAGGGAGAATACCTTACTTAAAGCATACAGTTTAAATATTTTTCAAATTCTTTGCAAAATACACTCAATGGCTTCCAACTACACCTTGTATTCTTACTGATCTGTATAGATGTTGATCTTAAAATAGATGTTGTTATTTGATTATCAGAGGACCTGAGATATTTAAACATTTTAAAAAGTTCAGCTTACTGGTAGCCAGTGCATTTTTAATGACAGATCTTACATATCTGTGACATGGATATCAGGTCTAGGATCTATCCTTCCTGTAGGTACAGAATCATGAATGTGAATCAAGATATCTCTGAACTTGAGATACACATTTGGATTTCAGAAAACAACAACAAAAATGTGCTTAATATGTCTTTCACCTATACCCCAAAGCTTGATTGAGGCACCCTTCTTCTGACTTTCTATTTTGGAGTACAAAAGAATTTCACTAGCTCATAGAAAACCTGGAGAAATTATTTGAAGTGTACTTGGACAGCATTTAAATAAATGTTTACTGATGGAGGCCAAGAAGGAAGAGTAACTCATTTCCATGAACACTCAGAGGGAATAACTTTCAGGGGTGTATAGATGACACTTCTGGGAAAGCTGTTGAGAAGCAGAGCCAAGCAAGTCCTGGAGAAATACAGGTGCAAAGTAAATGCAGACAAGTTTGAATTCCTGAATATCTCATGGACAAGTAAGCAGTTTACAGAATCTGATGATTTTAAAGAAGGAAATTGTTTAAAAGCTCACTTCTGATTGTATATACATTTTCTCTTCTTTTGGCCAAAACTTTGGATATGAACAAGCAAGTGGGAGAGGACTGCTGCATGTCTAAAATTAGGACATTAGGCATTGCAGAGAAGATCTCAGTGAAGATGTTTACAGTCTTTCTGTATGCCCTGCTGACATTTGCAGAGAGAGAAATTCTTTGCATTCCACATAATATGGGTAGGAAAACTGCACAAATACCCTGGCAGCCTTACTGATTTACAAAGGCAAAATATTATGCTAGTGTGTCACTACTGAGATTTCTGTGTGAGAATAATAGCCAAAATGAAGTGAAAGAAAGCTATGATTTGAGCTTGATTTGAAGGAGTGCTTCCCTTCATTTTCTTATATTTCTAGGTTTAAGTGTCCAGGAACTAACTGCACAAGAGATGCTTTTTTTTTTTTTTTTTTTTTTTTTTTTCGGCAAAAAAAGAAAAATAAAAAGGGACATTGATTTTTATTCGATTTTCAACTAACAACATTAACAATTGCTCTTTATTCCCACAAAGGACTTTTATGAAGAAAAAGAATTGGTATATTAATAATATTACTTTTGAATCTATATGGATCCTAGAGGCAATAAATCACATCAGCAAGTTTCCAAAAGAAATTTCACTGTATAGAATGCATTCAAGCAGTCACATTGTCTTTGAAGTTGCTCCCAACTTTTATGAAACAAGATAGTGTATTGATGAAACAAGATAGTGAATTTTTTTGCCTGCAGATCAGATCGAAGTTAAAAAATGACACAGTCTATGAAAACTCAGGAAGCCATGACTTGAAAACATGGAAATTTTCATGTCTGCTTTTTGGATAAAAAATAATATTTTTTTTGTAGAATTTTACTTTAGATGGCCCCATAGTGATATGAAGATAGATAGTTGTATTTCATGTCTTTAAAACAGAAAGATCAGACTTTAATAAAATACAGTTTATAACTTTCTTCCTTCAGTATTCTGAAAAAGAGTACATTTTTTCCTTGACTGATTTTCCATTGTTTAAGGATATACAGCCCTCACTTTCATTCTCTGGAAAAAAAGAGATAGGAATAAAAGGAAAAGCTCTTTTGAAGATTTCTCCACATCTGCAAAATTTCTTAGTCAACATCCTCTTTAAAAAAGTAAATTCAGACAATGTTTTGGTGTTGAATATGATTTAGGCTTCTGAAAAACAAAAATTGTTCATTTGCATTTTTATTGAGTTCTTTTCCTGTTTTGTCTGCTTAATGTTTTCATCCCATTGCTTTTGTTCATTTGTGACATGCATGCAATAGCTGAGCTAACCGTCACAAATTGCATCTGAGATAATCATTCACAAATGCAAAGTGAAATCCTGACTCCTATTGTCAGCTATGGCTTTTTGTTAGCTTTAACCAGGTTGAACTTATAGCCATTTGAAAAAAATGGACTGTAAGACTGGAGATGTAGAAAGCCCATAAGAGTAAGATTTTTGTTTTTTTTTTTAATGAAAAAGCTGCAAGATTATTCGAAGCTGTGACCCAGATTCTGCTCTTAGTGACATTCCTGCATTAGTACTGTTATTCTGAATGTATTCATTCTTGAAAAATGCAGGGTTTTTTTAATTTTTATTATTTTTATTTCCAAACTATTCTTATGGAATGGACACACTTTGATTTGCACTAACTTCTTAATTCTGTCTAGCCTGTCCAGGATGCCTTGAGGTTTAAATCACGGCCATTAACCCTTTCCTTTGTGTGAGACCCATATTTATTGCTCCCTGGAGTCATGGAAGTTATTGAGTTTTGGGGATATGACATTTCTATGTATTCAATTTGGAAAACCAAATTTAT